CCTTTTTGATTACCCGGAGTCCTCGTTCCATCCTTTCGGGCCGTTTGGTATTCGTGACTCGATGGCGTAACTGTAACGCATCCTGCCATGGTTCTTGCACAAGCGCGTCTTTTGCAGGAAGTCCGGAGTTCAATCCTCCATCGAGCCATCCCTCTTTTCCATTCCTTTTTCGTGCGCCTCTTACCGGACCTTCGCATCGCTCGCACACATGGTCCGGTGGCATAGTGGTAACGCACTCTGTTCGCGTAGCTGGCGGGAAACTGAAATCATGGAGGGACCGGAGTTCGAATCTCCGACGGGCCTTTATGTTCTTTTTGTCCGTCAAGTAAGAAGATAGGGCGCGTTTTTGAATGGTTCAGTGGCGTAATGGTAACGCACTCCGCATTCCTATGTAGTTCGCGGTATGCTTCACGGAAAGTTCGGAGTTCGATTCTCCGCTGAGCCATTATGAAGAAAACCCTTCTTTTTCATGGCGATAGTTTTAGCTGGTCTTTCGATTCCTACGGCTCGGTGGCGTAATGGTATCGCACTCCGTGATGATCTAATGGATTTTTATATCGATTGACGGAAAGTCCGGAGTTCAATTCTCCGTCGAGCCATTCCGACGGAAACCCTTCTTTTTATGGTGATCGTCTTGGCTGGTCGTTCGACTCCTACGGCTTGATGGCGTAATGGTAACGCACTCCGTAAATATGCACATTCAATTGACGGAAAGTCCGGAGTTCAATTCTCCGTCGAGCCATTTCGACGGAAACCCTTCTTTTTACGGTGATCGTCTTGGCTGGTCGTTCAACTCCTACGGCTTGTTGTCGTAGTGGTAATTGTCATTTTAGGTAGTCCGGTCATGGCTTGGTGGCGTAATGGTAATGCGCTCTGTGTACCTAACGTTCTCATATCAGTTGATGGAAGGTTCGGAGTTCGATTCTCCGTCAAGCCATGTCTTTTTACTCGGAGTCGGTCCTTTGTGGTCTTGAGTTCGATTCTCGAATGGCCTGTTGGCGTAATGGTAACGCATTCCGTGCACCTATAGCATTTGTATATCGGTTGACAGAAGGTTCGGAGTTCGATTCTCCGTCAAGCCACTAGTTGGGTCCGGATATCATTTTTAGTTGAGGGCTTAAGGCGTTGTTCTTAAGGCGTTGTTCTCGGAGTTCGGTGTTTTGAGGTCACGTCGGGAGCTATCACAATGTGATGGCTCACAGCGGAGCGCGGATTCTCGACATGGGGATCATTCGGGCAGAGCACAGATGCTTTAATTTTCTCGAATCGGACTGCCTGTGTGGCCCAAGTCATCAGTCTTTCTCTTTCCCGAAGAGAAAATTCCACTTCAAATTTTTTTCGTTCTGTCCGAGCCGTCCTGAGGTGTAACCTTAATTGCTGCCGGGCCCCATTTTTCCTGTGATGGGTCGTTCGATGCCATAGCACGACATTTGATGCATTTCCATTTGTAATTCTTTCCCGCACTTCGCTAAGCACGGAAAAGAAGTGGGGGGCTGTAGGGGGGTATATAGGGTAGCGGAAGCTATCCCCAAGCTGCAATATGCGGCTTCTACCACCCACCATGGCTTATCGGCATCTGCGACTCTAAGCCTCTGTTGACTGGAGGCATGGAGCATTTGCCTTCAGGCATTGGAGACTGCTGCACCAGGTTGCATCTGTGCATGTGTCAATCCCGCTGCATGGCTACGTATGATCTATGATCTGTATGCCTGTAGCGCAGATTATGAAACATGAAGAGTGTACGACCACCATATTGGATGTCACCTTCCCAGCCATCTATGGCTGGAAGATTCACGACTTGTTGACGTCCAATACAGGTACCTCTGCCAACAATGGCTGGCAATTACAGATGCCCGGCTGGTCTCCATCCGTTTTCAGCAATGCCTGTACCTATGGAGCCAGCGGCGGAATAGGATCAAAATTTCAGCCCCGAAATTTTTTTCCCTCTCCTTCCTTGGGATTGCGTACGATGGGAAATTTTCTTCTTCCAGAATAGGTTGGGGGGCCATTGTGACCGTCTGTGGACATACCAGGCATATCCTTGGCTCTCTAGGATATGGGGGGACTCTGTGATACGGGGTGCCCGATCGAGGGACATATCTGAGTGATCCAAGGCTTATATAATATTAGTTAGTGTACTTTAGATCTAGCAAGTACAAATAGCAACATATATTACCTTTTGCACAAACCACCATGATCGTCCTCTGAGAACAACCTCGAGACCGACCTGTGGGCCGTGCGACCATTTATATCAAGACCCCCGCCTCGCCTGAGTATGCGTCTCAACTACTCCGGCTCCGCATGCCAGGCAGCCTCGCTGCCTTATGCTCTGTGCGATGCAGACAGCATCGCAGAGGCTCACTTCCCGCTTGCCTCTTCATCCCGGGTCAGGAGCGCGGAGGCCTTGAGCCTCCTGCTGCATACTACCCCTCTCAACTTCACACCTCTGACCGAAGGCGCACGAACACAGTCGTATCACATTCCGGGACAAACTGCCTTTCAGCGAGTTCATGGTGATTCCGCGAGGTGTGAGGACCTAGGTGACCGGGAGGGCCATCCTGGGCATGGATTTGAGGGCCTCCCCTGGTCTAAATGTGCGCGGGGGCGAATATCTGGGACCCGGTCATCCTGGACGGTGGTCGAGGAGGCGCGCCCCATCGGACTTGGCGTCATAGTGGTTTGTCAAGTCGTGCAGTCGTGCTGGACGGTCGGGGAGCGCACGAGGACACGGTGCTGTGGTCGTAGGGGATAGGTGAGGATGGGGAACGGCTCCGCTGGACGGTCGTTGTGAGACCATTTCGGGAAGGCAAGAAGCCCGATTGGGACGTTGGCATGTCCGCTGGTCCGTCGTGACACATGTAGGGTGCCTGGCACCCTCACAGCGTTGTGTGTGCCCTCGCGCCACTGCATCCACAGGATGAGACCAATCACCCGATTTGGAAGTATCAAGAATCCGCATATGGAAACTTCCCCAATCGTGGCTCATCTGCAGCTGCTTCCCTCACCACGACCGCTGATACGACTGGTTTTGAACCACCCGTGTAATCACGCATTTTCGTGATTCTTAGCACTATTCTAAGAACCTCTGTTCGGTGGTATACAATTAGAGCCGGAGTGAGCTCCGAACTGCCGACTGTGTATTAATGATGCTAGAGGGGTTAGCACGCACTGAGGAGACATAGAAATGTGGTCCTTATAAACATGGGGGATCTGCTTCATGATCCTAGAAGTGTTCGCGAACCCCGTCAGACAGAGTTGTTTCTTGTGATCCGGGAAACAGCTTGCCCTGCAGGCTAGATACCATACCCAGGAGATATAACAAAAGCCTTGACACCCTTCGTGGATTGTACTGCGCCAGACAAGGGCAGGGAACAGTTCGCGAATACCACTTCCATGCGGGAGGGCTTCAGAACGAGTTCACGAACAAACATGGATATTCGCGAACCTCACTTTCAGTAGGTTTTATGAACTGAAAGGGCAAAGGAACAAGTTCACGAACCTCTGACTATTGGTGCCTGGCTCGGGTTGGTTCAAGCAGTAGTCAGCCCTGGGTCAAGGGGACCACATGTGACGATCGCGACATGGCCGCAATAAAAGGGTAGAGGTTGTGCTTCTGTTGGGTACTCAGCAGTGATGGCTCACAGTGCCTCTCGTCCTCCACTATGCCTTTAGACAGGTGAGGACAGTAATGATGAAAGCAGTAGGAAGTGTAAAAAGAAGCTTGAGCAAGCTCAACCAGAAGAAGAAACACTGGAAGGAGAAAGAGCATTGCAAAGACAAAACTGACAGAAGAAAATTGATCAGGAAGTCACGAGAGATGTTTAACAAACCACAAAAGCTGACAAGAATACCAATGAGGTGGAATAAATAATTGAGTGTTTGAATACCATGAATATCTTGGACCTGCATTATGGGCCTGTTGTAAGCAGGCTATCAGGTGCATTGATTGCTCCTACACCAAAAGGTAGATAATTGTTTAGATAGTTCTAATCAATTGCACACCTATATAAGGACTTGGGAGTTGTTGTAAACTGGCATGTTTGCACTTATATATTACAAAGCCAGCCTCTGGTGGCATAATGCATCTACAGGGAGCCCTTGAAAATTCAGGAAACTGGTTCTATGACCCAGCACCAACCACCACTGCATCTAGATGGAAAGTCTCATCAAAACAGGGATACTGAAACATCAGGACCAGCCCCATACCCCAAAAAATATCCCACAAGGAGAATGCTCCAATCTCAATATTCAGCTTCTCTGGGGCTCAAATTGCTAGTAGTGGACAGGGGCAAGTCAGAGGTCCCTGGGGAGGCCAAGACAGTTGTGCTCACCATCTAATATAGCCTGCAGACCTACATCTGTCACAATAATTGACATTTCAGCTTTGTGCAAAGAGGGATTTGCACTCAATATCAACACAAGGCTGGTGGCCCCAGTCACTATCTTGCATTGGGTGTAAAAATCAATTGAAGTCAGCTGGTGTATAATGCAGGCAATGATGTGCTCAGCATGACTACTACTTGGAGTAAGGTAGCCTCTAGTTGACTGTATGCATCTATAAAGCACTGCTTTAGGACAGCAGTCATCTCTTTTGGCTCTGGCATTGATTAGTCTCTCATAGACAGACGCTTCAACACAAACCTCGTGCCTCGCTTGTTGAAGTCTGTTGGCTATCAGGGGGGTCCGATCGGACTTCCAGCTTATTACCAATCTTTTGGCAGGCGAATCACACTGATTACCAATCTTTTGTCAATCATTTGGCAAATACTCATAAAGTGACCATCAAACTTGTTGAATGGCTTAACACCTCGGCCAATTTGCAAAATTCTGAAGAGACAGAACTCTTCCTAGCAGGGTAAAGTATGACATCACATCTATACATGATTCCCAGTGCTACAGAGTTGATTGGTAATAAGCGGAAACCCCAATCGGACCCCCTTTGTAACAACAGGACTAGGCATTGATGGATGGTAGCCATCAGTGCATTGGAGTCCTGAAACGACGCTTTGGCCGAGTGGTTAAGGCGATCGCCTGCTATATATGGTAATTCCTGTTTAGGAAACACCTTCTAGCGTCAGCGGTTGGGGTTTCCCCGCGTGTGTTCGAATCGCACAGGCGTCGTTCTTTTTACTACGTTTTTAAATTAAATTATTTTTTGGCCTTGTGCACATTTTTGGCCTGTCCCGATAGTAGACATATCCCGGACTCCCACCGCGTGGAACCCGGCAGCAAATTTGATCTGTTTCCCACGGTGGGCATTCAGCGACTTGTGTCTACATATTCTCTTGTATCTATTTCCTAGAAGACAAGTCGCAAAGTTCAAGCCCACCGCTAGCTTCCCTGCAGAGGACGGCCATGGCCCGTGCCACGGTAGCGCCGGGACCATGTAGTCCACGCCCAAGCAGCGCGCGCCGTACAGGGCCGGAATACGCACTGGAGACGGGCTATACAAGCTCAAGGTCCGAGTAGGTCCGAGTCCTCGGCGAGGGCGGATAGGACTATCCCCATATCCCACCACCACCCCATTCTCACTCGGGTTCCCGCGGGGAGGTCATGGACGCGGTCACGGCTGTAGTGTCCACGATGGAGAGTGCGTGTTGCATTTGATGTGCGTTGCTTTCGCGCTCACGGCGCGTCGCAGACTGACCCCTCTTCAACGCCGGTAAGCAGTTGCAATCATACAGGCGGGAAAGGTCGATGGAACTGCTATGACTTGCGCGCGAACTCAAAATTGCATACGAAGAACGAACTGGAGGCCTCGCTGGTGTTCTCCAAGCCCCCGGCGTCGCACCCTGGCATCCATCGCGCCATCGGCACGACGTTCCTCCCCAACCCGTCTTTTTTTTGCGTCTCCTTTTTGCAGAGTTTGGCTACCACCTATCATAGTTTTATCGACTTATGGAGTCTGACTGCGGGAGACGAGCTACTACCTGAATATCTCATGTTAGGACCCGGGCTCCTACCTCGCACAGAGTTGCACAGATCATCAGTGACACTTTTGGCAAGGTAAGACTTCAATTGGAGAGGTGAACAAGCCCTTGCGCGAGCTTCGACACGACAAGCATTTTATTTATTTAAACTCACGTAACTTGACAAGGTCGTGCATCTGCGGACATATTGTCTTCAGATCCAGACACTCTCCCGGCTAAAAAATATGATTTGTTCGATAACTAGACGATATTGATTATTATGTCCATAGATATAGAAAAGAGTCCCTGAAAAGAGTGTGGAAAGAACCAAAGGTGGAACAAAATAGCGTCTAGCGACAAGAATCAGCTCGGTACCCAAGTTTCGAAATATAACTGAGCGTACCAGCGGCTGTCTCCGTCCTCGCCACTCGTTCCTTTCTCCTCGTCCCGGAGATTTCGGATAATTTGCTCCTGCTTTTTCCACATCCTGTAGAAAATGCGGGTCCCGTGAAACTGGGCGGCCGAAAAAGCGACATGCAGTATTGGGGTCGCTATTTTGAACGACAGTGTCCAGCGGCTCCAGAGCTGGCCGAATAAATACATGGCAACTATCGTCTCGGCCGTCGTACCAAACAGCGTCGTGAGGCATGCAGCACGGAAGAGCGCCGCGAGAAAGTGGTGAGAGTCGGGATAAACGCGATATAGGATGATAGTGAGGTGGGGAAGAAACTCGGATATTATATCAAATGCTCCTACAAGGACAGTCAGAGCTCGCGTTGAGAGGAGGGACGCACACGCACCCCATACGGTACAGAGGAGAAACTCGATACTGGAGTCCTTCTGCATCGACACACTGATGGTAATAGCGGCTTGTCCCACTAAAATGCTTGCAATGTGGTGTACCTGAGTTGCTATTAAACTTGATGCGGTGTGGAGGACGACACGCTTACCACAGAGATTGGAGATATTTTCGTGCGGTAAATCAGCTCAAAAATGAACATGCCAATAAGCATCTGGGCGGATATGACGAGCAGGTCTCCCATTGTGACTGTAGAGTTGTGCATGAACGGTGTGTGGAATCCAGCAGTCCCAAAAGCAACGTCTCCGAAGGGGTACACAGCGATGATGAGGATGACAATTTTTGTCCCGCCAGCAATGTGGTGATTAACGAAACTACGACGGTTTACTTCATCCAAGTCAGTATACTTGGTGCCATAGATTCTTCGGAGGAGGAAGAGCTCCAAGACATAAAATTTGACCAAAAAGAAGACAAGCAGAACCACCGAGATGATGAGGCCAGTGTACGGCGAAAACTGTGAGATGGCGGTGAGGGGGAATTTTCGAATATGGTGGTCGATCGGGGGATCAGGATCGAGAGCCATAACGCGTTGGATCCGGGGTCGGATTTTAATCTTTCGGGCGAAACAGTCCATCATTAGCTCAAGCTATTGCTACCCACGGCTATTTTCGTGCGTCGCAATCCGGCGGCGTTTTCTCTCCGTGGCAGGTTACCAAACCGGGACGTCAAACATCCCCCTGGTGGGTAGTTTGAATGATCCTCGTCTGGCTGGTACCGAATTGATCCACTAGGATTCCTACGAGTAGGATATTCAATTTGATCAGTGGCAGCGTTTATACATGTAATATTGGCAACCTTTTCTTCGCCCACCTTGTTCTCTCACCCCTGCTGCGCTGCGCATACATTGCTGCGCATGCGCACCAGATTAGAACCTCAAATTCATCAAGCCATTTCCGAGCTATTATCAGCGACGTCGTCTCGTGTCGTCCATTGCCCTTGGCGCTACTACCACCGATCTCAACCTGTTTTGCGTTGATTAATGACAAAACCAATCTCTCAATAGTTACGACGGTGCAAACCACCTAGAAAGTATAGGCGTCTGAGGACCGAAATGTGGTACAGTGTCAGTGAGGTTGACGACCGCGTTTCGCTGGTTAACATCTGTCAGTGATTGCCCCGTCGCTTACCCGCAGTCCAGACACAGAAATATTACACGCATGATTGGAAAGATGTCGAACGGATCCCACTGCAGCAGCTTGACGCGGATGCGAACACGTTTGAGGGATGGCCGTACTGGAATGCCGGCGGCGTGGATATCTCGGGCGCACCGGGAAGTATGCGACCTCCTCGACGCCCGGCGTAATGTATTGCACTGCACTCTCACATCGACGCGGCTAATAGGTGATAGTCTCATGGTGCGCAGCGCAAGGAAGGAAGGAAGGAAGGATGGGTATTTTTTAAACCGCGGATGCGCCAATGAGGATGATGACACATCGTTTCGGCATCCGGGACGAGTTGTTTGCGCAGACTTGCGATTTTCACTTTCCCGTTTTCTTTCCCTCCCTTCCACTATGGATTCCCCTTATCTACTTCCTCTCAAGCGCCACAGATACAAGCCCCAATCATTCTGGCTCTCTAATCCTAATCAATCCGGCCAAATACAGTCAGCGAAACGACTAAAAACTAGGCGCAACTACCCAATCCTTGTTTCCGGCACTCCTTGATTGGAATACTCGATATCAATGGAAGTTGAGGTGTCACCGCGGTGCAAATGTCACGGGTTGGTCGGAGTTCAGGTGCGCGTTCTTTTTTTTATGCCTCACACGGTAATTGGTCTTGAGGAAGTTCTAGCGTGTCCCTTGCGATTTCCCCAGACGTCGGCGCCCCTCCTGACCCCCAGCCTGGGCCTACGCATCACCGGAGCCCAGGCCATGTTTATTGTGCTCAAGACGCGTCTCCGAACCCCTGCAACATCAAGGCCCTCGGCGTGACTGTGGTGCGCATTCTACGAGTCGCACAGAACGCGGAGAACACGGAGGTAATAGAAACAGAGAAGTATCTCAACTGCCATGACTTGTCTAGACTCAGTTGTGGTGATGCATTAAAAAAAACACACATTCCAAACGCGTCGGAACTACTTCCTCGTCCTTCAGCCACCTCATAGGATATTCCCTAGTGTTATTCAGTAGCACACAGATAAGAGTGTAGTAGCACATAAAGAATGAGCTATCAAACTCGGGATAAATCAAAGCGTGAACTTGTTGGCAACCGTAGTCGCAGACTGACCCCTCTTCAACGCCGGTAAGCAGTTGCAATCATTATACGGGCGGGGAAAGGCCGATGCAACTGCTATGACTTGGGCCAAACTTGGGCTAATAGCCCCGCGCGCGAACTCAAATTTGCATATGAAGAACGAACTGGAGGCCTCGCTAATAACCCCGCAGCGTCGCACCCTAACAAGCCTGACATCCAGACCTCGCACCATCGGCTCGACGTTCCTCCGCAACCCGGGTGCCGACTCTTTTTTTGCAGAGTTTTGCTACTGAACTTCTCACGTTAGGACTCAGGTCAAGGGGGTACGAAAATGCGAAAATATCAACATACCTTCCATTTTTATTTTCAGAGGGTCGAGCTCCCCCCCCCCCCCCCCCCCCCCCCACGTAAGCGATTTGTAAGCAACACGTGAGCTTCGCTTAGCCTTCCCTCAGCAGTAAACGTACCAGAGGCTATACTTTTAGTATCTACATCCTTTAAATCATCCCTAATATCATTCGGGTAGCTTTCTAGGCCGTAATTTATGTTTTCGTTCAAAAAGACATTTCGGCACTGTCCGCCGCGATCAATACACGTGATGATTTTCTCATTGCCGAGTGAGGCCGAGTGGCTGTACCCCCACCCCCCCCTCCAAATGCAGTAATAATCTTTTGGTCTCTAACTCGACGACCATTCCACCGATCGGTTTGGGAGTGTGATTTTCAGAATCCTCGGGGAAAATAGAGGCTGACTGGGACGTCATATAAAATATTCGCGTTTCCGAAGCCCCTTGACTCAGGTCCTACCTCACACAGGATTGCACTGAGATCGACAAGTGTTAAAGCAAGACTTTAAGTGAGGAGGTGAACAAGCAGCTTTGACACGACAAATAATTTAATTTGTTTAAACTACTCGAGTCAGGAACAAGTCCGGAAACCAAAAAGGGAAATTGAGTCGAACCGTGGGAAACTCCGACTGTCGCAAACCAAGGGAGCGCTGGTGCGCATCATCGTACATCGGCGGACATATGGTCTTCAGATCCAGACATCAACTCTTCCGGCCAAAAAATATGATTTGTTCGATAACTAGACGATACTGATTATTATATCCATAGAGATAGAAAAGAGTCCCTGAGAAGAGTGTGGAAAGAACCAAAGGTG